AAACTGACACCTCAAGAGGGGAAGCAACTTGCAAAATGGAGGTCTAGAGTCAGTTTCACAGCTACGTAAAGCTGGTATGACTTCCATGTATCCAAAGTCAGAGGCAGGGATGGGGATCACTACCATCCCACAGGACATAAGCAGAGCTTTGAGCAAGGGTCCAGAAGGTCCCAGGCTGGACTCTGCCTCTGTTATATGTAAATTTTCAGTGCCACAAAAGAAGTATCACTGGAATATAAATTTCCTCAGCAAGGCAATTTACTTCTATGGAAACGTGCAGCTCACAGATGGAACAATGGCAGGCACACACATGAACCCCTTCCCCTCCCTTGACAGAGGGGAGCCCTGACAGAGGTAGCCCCTACTGCTGTGTCATTCTCCCATTGGGTAGGGTTAGACCACACAGTCTAGTCTAATTCTGATTGGCTATTTTAAGGGAAGCAGGGATACAAGCTGGAGTGGTGGTGCGGGTAGTTTGGTGGGCAAGACGGTTACAGGACAAGTCAGAGCAGGTAGCCAGGGATGACCTAGATCCAAGCAGGTGACCAGAGCAGGTGACCGGGATGAATCAGGATGGAACAGGGGACCAGGGGAACAGATGTGAACTACTGATTAGAACTGCTGGTTGTTTACTGAAAGGTTGTTTACCGAAAAGGGAGGACGAAGAACTGAACATACTGACATACTGATTCTTTGAAGAGAAGCTTGAAGTTCACTCTAACACCTCCAACTTCACTGTAAGGTTAGGCTGGACTAGGTGATAAAAAGCCCCTTGAAACTCCCGCAATCTTTACTTATTGTTGGGTTTGGCCATGGCCTCATTGCTTATGAGAAGCAGACACTCCTGGCGGTAGCACAAGGTAGAGAGTACGTGCATTTTGGAATCAGACAGGATCCGCTTGCAAGCTGGGTGGCCTTGAGCAAGTTGTTCAACCTCTCTGAACTCCAATTTTCACATGTATGAATGGGAGATAATATTTTTTTCTCCCACTGCACAATAATTAATGCAAGATTCAGTGTGATGATGTTCACTAAGTGTCTGGCACAGAGGGGATATTTATCAAAGTTATGCACCTTCCTGCTTCTTCTCCATCATTCTTCCCAGGTCAACCCAGGCTTAAAGTCCTAATCATGCAGTAATACCTGCCTCATGGAGCTGCACTGAGTTCAGAAAGGGTGCAGGTCTGTGAGCCTAGCACGGACACACACATAGCTCATACAGTACAATGAATAGTAGCACCTATAATAAGAATTATTCTAATTATCATTGTTTAAAAATAGACCCCTACTGGCCAGGCACAGTGGCTCATGCCTGTAATCCCAGCATTTTAGGGGGCTAAGGTGGGCTGATCACCTGAGATCAGGAGTTCAAGACCAGACTGACCAACATGGAGAAACCCTGTCTCTACTAAAAATACAGAAAATTAGCTGGGCATGGTGGCACATGCCTGTAATCCCAGCTACCCAGGAGACTGAGGCAGGGCAATCACTTGAACCTGGGAGGTAGAGGTTGCGGTGAGCCGAGATCATTCCGTTGCACTCCAGCCTGGACAACAAGAACGAAATTGTGTCAAATATATGCCCCGATCATCCAAAGATAATCCCTGTTAACATTTTCCAATATATCCTTGCAGTTATACAGAGTGAGAGATATCATGTTAAACATATTCTTTTCTTTACTTCATCCACTTAATTTGCGTTGTGGATCTTTTCCTCTCTATAAATATGTAGCTACATCATTGCTTTAAGAAACCCTGACCAGGCACAGTGGCTCACACCTGTAACCCCAGCACTTTGGAAGGCCAAGGTGGGCAGATCACTTGAGGTCAGGAGTTCAAGACCAGCCTGGCAAACATGCCAAAATCCCGTCTCTACTAAAAATACAAAAAAAAAAAAAAAATTAGCCAGGCATGCTGGTGCATGCCTGTAATCCCAGCTACTTGGGAGGCTGAGACAGGAAAATCACTTGAACCCAGGAGGCAGAGGTTACAGAGAGCCAAGATCACACCATTGCACTCTAGCCTCGGTAACAAGAGGGAAAATCTGTCTCAGATAAAAAAGAAAAAGAAATCCTATAGTATTCCAGTGTATTTACAAATCCAAACCTTTGTTGTTGGATATTTTGGTTTGTATTCTTTTTGCTCTTGTAAAGAAAGCTGCAATAAACACCCCTGTAGCTAAGCACATTTTTTTAAATTCATCAAAGATACTGTTTTAATGCCCAGAATGCAGGAGTGTCATAATTTATTTATTTATCTGTTCATTTATTTAAACCAGTGTCCTACTGCTAGATATTTAGATTATATACAATTGTTTTGGCTTTCATAAATAATAATATGAATGCCTAGATACCACATCTTTATATCTTATCTGATTATTTCCTTGGGATAAATTCTTAAGAAGGGGAAAGAATGGTATCAGAAAAAATTTACATTTTTAAGGCTTTTGACTCTCTCAGTAAAATCATGCTTGGAAAGAATTACGGGAGTTTATTCACTCACCATCTTACCCAGTCACTTGCATTCATTCAACAAACATTCTCTTTGTCGGGAGGGGCTTCTAACCTTCTTTCTCCTCAGCACAATCATGCAATGATGCTACTGGGACCCATCTAGGTCTGCGTTGAGGGGTCTGACTGCTCCTCTTTAGCCGGTGTGAGTTTTGACAAGTCACTTCACTTCCCTGAGACCCTGCTTCCGCCAGCTCACGAACCTCCAGGTTTACCGTGATGATCGTGTGAGACATTAGATTTGAGAGGGCTTTAAGGGCTGAACAAACAGAAGGGACTCATTGCTGACACCAAGCGAATTTCTCATGCGGTATTCTCATTATTTCGTTTTTGCACAGAACTTTAGGTTTGCCACGAGACTTTTTATTAGGTTACCTTAACTGTCCCCTGTTGTGGTTACCAAGACACAGATCAAACATAATTTCTTAAGGAGGAAACAGGTCCGGAGAGACTCAGTGGCTTTCTCTAGGCCCCATGAGCCTCAGGACTGCTCCCAAGCCCTTCATCAGACTGCTGTCTGGGCCATATTTCCTTTTTCTATATCAGCAACATAAAAATGGCTATTACTCCAAAAAGATGCAGTTGTATTCATAATGAATCTGGTGGTGCCAGCAATTTAAAACATAAAGGCAATTTACCATTTACTGCTTTGTAACCAAATAAAATGCAGTGACCCTTTCTTTCTCTTTCCAGAGGATTTGGAATCTTCTCGGAGGGTTGATAAAGAGGAGAGTGAGGAAATAAGATTGTAGATTCCTTGAGCGTTCAGATCGCTACTTATTTCTGTATTTAGCAGAGCACCCAGCACAGAATGAGGCCCTCTGCAGAGACAGCAACTGAGCCATAAAATAGGCATTCATCTTAAGGCTCAAAACCTAGGCTTGAATCACAGTAGGTCACTTACTATCTGATCAATTAACACATAACTTATTGGTTGCCTACTAGATGTCAGACATTGCACTAGGTGCTGTGCAGCTTTAAGCAAGTTAGTTCACCTCTCTGAGGCTTTGTTTCTTCTCCTGGATAATCTGGAGAAAGGCCTGGTCACATAGTAGAGGTTCAGTGACAAATGACATAGCAACACTTCTTTGATGAAATTTGTAACTGTGTATGATTTAGAGACACCCATGAGGCATATCCCAAAAACTTTGACAAAGGAGAGTATGATTGCCCTCCTAGAGTAGACTTCAAAGCGTATAAATACGTCAGGGTCAATAATTCATGTCACACATGCCTCTGTCATCCTTCCCTCACCCACAGCAGACATTGCTAATCAAACATGTCGATCTTGATGTTTACCAAGTTTCACAGAAAAATTTACTGTGTTTGCCTGCTTGTGAAAGTGCTGGAGGCAGCAAACTGAGAATAAACTCTTAAATCTGAGAGACAGAGAAATAATTACTTGTTTGCCTCAAAAGTATGTGGAATAAATATGCGTGGAGTTATAAAAAGAAAAGAAAGAAAGAAAAAAAAGAAATTCCAGCCAGTTAAAACCAACAGAACAGGGTTGACTAGTGTGATGACTAGCCAATCTCAGATTTCGTCGATCAGAGCACAATTATTTTCAATAATTATCCTCAGGTAATTTTCTTCCTGTAGTTGCTAAAATACAATGCCCCTTTAAAGACAGTGTTATAGAAGTACCATTTCCTCTGCCCTGAAGATCATCAAAACAACCCATTTAAAAGTGACCTTGTAACCCATGGGCTGCAGAAGTAGCTTCTTATACATACCATGAAATGCCACCTACCCCTCAAGCTGGAAACCACCCAAAATTGGGTTTACAAAGGACAGGGGTTTGTTTCAGCTCGAGCCAAGTGCCCTTATGTTCCGTCCTTCCTCTTCCCCTCTAGAGAATGTGTTCAGCCTCATGTGAAATTAGCCTTTTCTATTAGATGCTTGACCTTAGACAAGTTACTTAACCTCTGTGCCTCAGTTTCCTCAACTGTAAAATGGAGCAATTAGCAGTACCTACCTCATAGGGTTGACAAGAACACTAGATGAGATATTGTGTAGAAAGTGCTGGCCCGTGGCACCTGCTCAGTAAATTCTAATTATTAGCTATTATTATTATTAGGCATTTGCCAAGTAATAGGCTTCACCGAGCATTATCTTAATTGTGTCTTGAAAACACTCCTATGAGGCAGGTTTTGTGTTATTAACATTTTAAAACTAATTGTTGTTGATTGATTTGCACAAGCATATGGTGTTTGTTGATAGAAAAGCATTTAATGATAAATTGGTTTCGTTCCCATGCCCACACAATCTTCTCTGGAAGTCGCAGCCCAGTGATAGGAGAATATTACGTGGTAGATATGACGTTAATTGTACGTGGCTTTAAACAGGTGGTGCAACAACTGTGTGGCAGAGTCAAGATTTGAACTCGTTTTGTTTTGGTTCCATGCACCATGAGGCCTCCTCTGGTCCCTTTTTAACTACTCCCCCTCTCCACCCACCCCCTCGAGACTTTATTAGAAAACAAGGACACAAACAAACATAAGATAAACAAAGCTAGCATGTGTGCTGTTATTGTGTGCCAGGTAGGTAATCTCTTACATATTTACTTCCCTGACGTATGTGATTGTCGCAACAGCCCCATGAGACAGGTGTTGTTAATATTCCCATTTTCCAGGAATCCCAGAGACACTCCAAGGACAAAATGAAATAATGGCACTTGAAAACAACATTTCTGGCTTAAAGCCCCTCCTGCCACTCACTAGCTGTGGAAACGTTGGTCAGTTATAGAACTTCTGTTTCTTCAGCTTGAAGTGTAGTTACCTCCACCTCATGGGATTGTCATTCATTCGTTTGTTCACTAAACAGTTATTGAACATCTAATGCAAAAAATTGTGCTGTGTACTGGATCTATACTGGAAACCAAAATGGGCATTATGGCTGGACATGGTGGCTCATCCCTGTAATCCCAGCACTTTGGGAGGCCAGAGTAGGAGGATCATTTGAGCCCAGGAGTTTGAGACCAGTCTGGGCAACATAGTGAAACCCTATCTATCTCATAAAATGTAAACAGTTAGCCGGTGCGGTGGCACACACCTCTAGTCTCAGCTACTCAAGAGGCTGAGGCAGGAGGATGGCTTGAGCCTGGGAGTCAAGGCTGCAGTGAGCCATGATCACACTACTACAATCCAGCCTGGGCAACAGAACAAAACCTTGTCTCAAAAATTAAAAATTAAAAAACAAGCATCCACTCCTGATCTTAGGAAGCTTCTTGTCTCGGATTAAATGAGAATTTTTCTATATAAAACTCACAGCACAGAGCCTGGCAAACAAAACATGCTCAATACAAGTTAACATTATTATTGGTCTTATTTTTATGACCCAGTTGGGACTGGAACAAAAGTCTTTTTGACTCCAAAATCTTTTCCATAAAGATCACGTTTTGTAGGGGGCCCGCTGAGACAGGAATAGAAGGGAACTTGAGGATGTTCAGAACAGACTTCAAATGCTTGCTGTATGTATTATACTTCCAAAGCATTCTTAGATCTTCCCATTCTCTTTCTTATCATCCACCCCAGTGTCCTTACATTTCCGTAAACACACCCCTCTCCATGGGAATAAATTTATTTCTCCCTTGAATGTAGACTCTGTGTGTTTGATTTGCCTGGAAAGGTGCGGAAACCACCCAGACACAGTGCTAATGGGATGTGACAGAACTCACAGCTTCTCCAGGCCTGGAAGGAAGAATGTTGACAAAGGGGAGCTTAATGAGCTTCCACCCACATTTTAATTACCCTAACAAGCTGCCAGAGGAATCCCTGTTTTCTGTTCTGCATTCTGGGAAGTTTTGACAAGCCCAGGAGGAATCTATCCAGGCCAAAACTGAGGGTGCCTAAGGAAAAGGAAAGCAGTCTTCCAGCAGCCAGTTTTGTCACCTGGTATTTGAGAGGGTCCTCTGCTCAGAAACACTCTCTCATTAGCTACCCAGTACAATGTATCAGTTATTATAAAGCTGCATAACAAACAACCACAAAACCTCAGTGGCACATGGTAACAATTGATTATTTTCACTCACAAGTCAGTGGGTCACATGGGCAGTTCCAAGCATCTGAGCCATCTGAGCCGAGCTTGGTGGGGTTTGCACGTGTCTCTGTGGTCAGGCTAGGTGGCTCTGCTGATCTTAGTTGGGCTTTCTTGCATATCTGGGACAACGGAACTGACTTTGCTCTTATTCACATGGTCTTTCATTCTACCCACGGGTTATTCACAGAACAGCAGGAGAACTCCAAGAGACAGGCCAAAATCATACAGAGTCTTGTTCCCAGGCTCAGAAAAGGTATAATGTTCCTTCTGCCACATTCTATTGGTCAAAGCAATCACAAGACTAGCCTAATCCAAGAACTGGGAAATAGACTTCAACCCTTGATGAGAGGGGCTAAAAAGTCCTGGCAAAGAGTGTGGATGCAGACACAGCATCTTAGGTCCATCAGTGCAGTAAATCTCCCACAACAGTGTAAAAGCAACAAAACACCATGGATTGAACAGCAACTGCATGCATATCACAGGATGCTAAAATGGAATCTTTGGGTCTTGGTTTCAGCTGAGGCTCCACGGGCCAAAGACAAAATGAAATGTTCAAATACCTGACATTTCCAAGCAAGGTATTGGCTTTGAAAAGGTCTAAAAGGAAATCGTTTTCTGACTCTTGGGCCAATGGCCATCTCTGAAAAGGTTGAATTGGAAGCTGGGGAGAGGATTTTTCTGGAGAAAGGAGTCCAGTACGAAGTTAGTCTCAATCCCACAGCCTTGCCTGGTGAGAGGAACTTCCAGGAAATATCTCTAGTTTGCTGTGAATTCCCTGGAGTCTGGGGAGAATGGCATCTGACTGAGACCTGAAAAATGTATATGTTAGTCAGACCTTGGCTGGAGCCTATCGAGATCTCAGGAAGAGGACTGAGGATAGCACTAGAAGCAGATGCTAAGTCCCTCCAGGTGCCAAGGATGCATGAGCTTCCCATGAATCAAGCAGATGTGGAGAAACTGGAATGGAGGCGTCTTAGAAGCGTCCCACCCAATAGGAGCAGCAAGAGATGCTACCACCTGCTATGGAATTTGGGAAAAAGGCACCACAAGAGGGGAACTGAAGAATCCCCACCTGAACACAGGTCTCAGGTGAACAGTTGGGGGACTGTGCAGTGTGGACACCCCTAATGGGGATCTCAAAGAATCCACAATACACCTCAAATTGACTCAGCTTTGATCACATGCCAAAGCTGGAGGAACTTTAAATACCTGCCAGGCAGAGAGCACCAATGCCAAATTGTGACAGTACTGGTCAAGAGAGCCCTAATCTGCCCTTGCCTCTCCTCCCTCTGCTCCCTTGGGTCTTTGGCTAGCAATCAGAGAAAAGAGAGGACCTAGGGAAGCCAACCACAACCCCCTTCCCCAACATCTAAGCTGAGAGGGGGGTGACTACTGCTAACCCACACTGATACTACTTCTTTGTTTGAACTAGAAAAAAAGTGCCCCCTCCAAGAACTTTACCTCCATTTTTCTGAAGTTTGTCATTATATACTGTATTTGTTGTCTATTACTGCATAATAAATTTCCCTAAAACCTGACAGCTTAAAACAACTCAGGAATCTAGGCTCATCTGAGCTGAGTCTTCTGGCTCAGGATCTCTCACCAGGTTACAATCAAGGTACCAGGAGGGCTGCAGTCTCAGCTGAAGGTTTGGATGGGGAATCATCCTCTTCCAAGGTCATGCAAGAGGTTGCTGGAAAGATTCAGTCCAGGGCTGTTGCCCAATGGTCATGCTCTCAGTTCCTTAGCATGTGGGTCTCTCCCTCCATAGAGTAATTCACAACAAGGCAGCTTGTTTCTTCAGAATAAGCAAGAGAGTAAAGCTGGAGAGAGATAGTATCAGACCAAAGATAGTCTTTTATAATCTAATATTGGAAGTGACATTTCATCATTTTTATTCTATTCATCAGAACAAAGTCACTAGGTCCAGCCCCAAGGCATGTATATGTGTGTTGGGGGGGAGGGGGTTGATTTCACAGGATGTGAATACCAGGAGGAGAAGATAATTAGGGGGTTACCACAGAAGTTTATCTACTGATATAATAAAATATCCTGATTTTATTAAAGCAACAGACCACTGCCACTGGCCAAAGAATTGTTATAATAAATACATAGATTGACAATGTCTATGATATAAAGAATACCCACTATACTTACGTGCTATACAACCTGCCAGTTATGTAAGGTTGTTCGGGAAAGATGCTTCAAAATCTTTTTCAAACTTTTACTGTGGAAGTTTTCAAGCATTTACAAAAACAGGGGATAAGATAACAAAAATTAATAAGGTAAACATGATCATTCTTGTTCACTTATACCCCGACCCTTTACCCCCAAACCACTAGTTAATGAAAAGCAAATTTCAGACAGCAAATTATTTCATCTTTAGTAATTCAGCGTAAATATCCACATACCGTATTTACCATTACTCAATGAACAATACCTTAATTTCATTTACTATTCAGTTACTGTTCATGTGTCTCCAATTGTTTCACAAAGGTCTTTTTTTTTTTTAACAGTTGACTTGTTTGAAAGAAACTTTAAATGAACTCGGAGTTTTAACCATGACTTAAGAGCAGGCATTATAATTACTGGCATGGTACTATTCTGTGAGAAAAATGCCTGCAGGACATTTTATTAACCAGGAATAACCAGTTGAGTAATAGAGGCTGCTTAAAATTTTACATGATCAGAAAAAACTTCAGCCCACCAAGGCCTTGCCAATGGACAGTGGAGAAGAGAGGGTCTTCTCACACTACGGAGACCTTATTCACCAGATGAGTGACACCCGGGTTATCTCTAAGCTTCACTACAGTCCTTCGGGTGGGTGTTATAATCCTCATTTTAACGGATTAAAAAAACTTAAATGCAGGAGAATTAACTCATCTAAAGTCACACAGCTATTATTGGGTAGAACCCATATTCCAGCTCAGGTCTGTCTGACCTCCCTAAGGGTCTCAGGAAGCCAACTACCAACTAACACTGTCATAGTCTTAGGGCATTAAGACACTGTGAATGCCTTTTTACAGTTGTGACAGATGTTAGCAATAACAAAACCATGTCTTTTATTCACTTTTGTTTCCTAGGACTTTACACAGAATTGGGTACACAGTAGGTGCCTAATAAATATAAAGCCTTGAAGTCACCACAGCACAGAACTTATTCAAAGAAACCTCAGTTCTGGCAGCCAGTATAAAAAGCAATTTCTGCCCACTGCCCCATCTACCATCAGCTTTATCTCAGCTTGTTTTCTTGATAATAGTGGCAGGGGTAGGATCAGCTGCAGAGGCTGGGAGCAAGACAGATTCAGGCTCATTCTACAGGAACTTGCCCGAGAATATTCAATGTCATTGAAGCTAAAAACTCAATATTGAAAAGAGTCTGGTGAAGTTCGCAGCCTTGTTACTTTTGATAGGGCAGCTTTGGCCAATAAACTGCATTCTTTCATTCCATGAATCCCTCTCAAAAGCCATAACCTATGTCTGAAACTGTTCATACTCCCCACCTGTGTCTCTTTGCCTGACAAACTCCTAATCCTTCAGAGCCCAACGGAAATCTCATATGCTCAGCAAATGCTTTTCTGTCTTCGTGGATGAAGTTCTATTCTCATATATGTACCTATCAAGTATTCAGTCCTCTTTCCCTTGGAACTACATGCCAGATAAGGAAAAGATGGCATCTGTCTTATACCTGGAACATAGTAGGCATTCGATAAATATTTGTTGACTGATTGATTTAAAAAAAAAAAGTTTAAAACTGCAATTACTGAAGTCTCTTAAAAAATATTACAGAGCACAGAAGCATTCCATTCATACAACAGAGCAAAACTTGAAATGCAGTTTCTTCTTCTCATTCTGTTCCCCACCAAAAGCTCCACTACATTCCTCTCTTCTATTTTACAAGCTCCATACAATCTCCAAATCTAACTGTGCCTGTTGGCTTGTGTCCCCTAGTCTTCTCTTCCCATGCAGCTCTTTCTCCCGTGAATCGACTGGGCCTTTCCATCTCTTTTGAGTTTTCACATTTATCCATTACCGAGATTCTAGAATGCAAAGAAAGCCTTGAAACTCACCCAGTAGTCTTCCCTCCTTGGAAAGTGAGGCAGGATGGTAAGCTCCTAAAGGCATAGATTTATGCCTGTTTTTGTTCCCTGCTGTGTCCTCTGTCTTTAACTGATGCTCAGTCAACAGTTACTAGCTGAACAATGTACTCTTTGTACAATGTACAATGCACAATGCAGTACTCTTTAACTTATATACTTCTGTTATTGATGATGACTAAATAACAAGAGGTGTTTCTGGAGTGAAAGGAGGAAAGGAAAAGGTTAACAAGGAATGGTTTCTCTATTTGGAGTTCTAAGATGGGAAGTCTGCCTGAAGAATCATACCAAGTGGAACATAGCCCCTGGTCATTCTCAAACTAGAAGAGCCACCGTGTGCTGCTGAATCAGCAGGAAACAGCACAGGGGACACAAGCGAGGTACAGCTCGGCAGCGTGGCAGCAATTTGGCTGCCAATTTCCTTCTATGTTTCAGCATAATTGAATTAGCATCCATGGAGACTGTCTCCCAGACATCGGCAAGTGCAATACTGTGGAGCAGGCGTTGCAATTCATCTGGCATTATGAGGCGTTGAATTGCCATCCAATCCCGCACCTCTCCTTGTTGCTTTGTGTGTGCTCGTTAGAGAAAATTAGGTGGATGCGACAAGCCTGGGAACAATTAAAATCTTCCCACTTAGCCAATTCCCAGCAGTGGTGTCCAAGTTCTCCTCATAGGCACTCAGGCTTGCTCGGCTAGTATGTACAACTTCCTGGATGTGCTTTCAAATTTTAAGCAATGGATAAAAATTCATTTTGCTCCAGCTCAGGATAGGAATTGTTAGGGCATAGAGGAAAGAACACTTACAGGGACAGCCATGATATGAACCAACCAGCACATCATCCATAGTGGATAATGTCAAGACCGGGAGTCCTGGAACACAGTCCAACTAGGAAGAATATTTCTGAAGGCAAGTCTAGGGCAATGGAGCTGGATGATGAGTCAAAGTCAAGGGCCAGGAAGAAAGCACCCAGTGTTGCATCCGGAGGGCTAACGGAAACTAGAAGTTGGGGGTATTAAAAGCAGGTTGCAGTGGAGAGTGAGGAATAGCACTGAGCAAATGATTCAGAACCAAGGTTATGAACATCAAGAAAGTGCTAGATTAAACAGAGACTAAGGGTGGCCATTTAAAGAACTGTACTTTGTAGGTGGGAGGGAATGGCTTACAACTGCTAGGGAGCAGAATGGTGTGAGGAAAAGAGCATTTTCTTGGAGTCATATAAATCTGAGGTTGAATCCCAGTCCTGCCATGTTAAACCACATTAACCCTAATCTTCTGCTTTCTCAGTGGAGAAAAAAAGACACCCATCTTGCAAGGTTGGGAAAGGATTAGAGATATGCTAGTTATAAAGGTATTATCTGAATAACAGGGCTTTGTCTTACTTTAAGTTCCACCAGCAAGGGATGGTATTCATCCATTCTTACACTGCTATGAAGAAATGCCCAAGACAGGGTAATTTATAAAGGAAAAAGGTTTAATTGACTCACAGTTTCTTATGGCTAGAAAGGCCTCAGGGAACTTACAATCGTGGCAGAAGGTGAAGCAGGCATGTCTTACATGGCGGCAGGTAAGAGTGCCAAGCAAAGGGGGAAGCCCCTTATAAAACCACCAGATCTCGTGGGAACTCACTTGCTATCACAAGGACAGTATGAGGGTAACCACCCCCATGATGCAATTACCTCCTACCAGGTCCCTCTCATGACATGTGGGGATTATGGGAACTACAATTCAAGGTGAGATTTCGGTGGGGACACAGTCAAGCCATATCAGGGACCCTGAGATCAGGATTTGAGTGTAAGTACCTTATTTGGGAGGTAATGGAAGGGGAGTGGGATGTATTCGTCTGTTTTCATGCTACCGATAGAGACATACCCAAGACAGGGAAGAAAAACAGGTTTAATGGACTCATAATTTCATGTGGCTGGTGAGGCCTCACAATCATGGTGGAAGGTGAAAGGCACTTCTTACATGTTGGCAGCAAGAGAAAATGAGGCAGAAGCGAAAATGAAAACCCCTTATAAAACCATCAGATCTCATGAGACTTACTCCCTACCATGAGAACAGTATGGGAAAACTGTCCCTGTGATTCAGTTACCTCCCACCAGGTCTCTCCCATAACACATGGGAATTATGGGAGTACAATTCAACATGAGATATGAATGGGGACACAGAGCCAAACCATATCATGGGGAAAGCAAGGCAGGGAAGAGAAAAAAGCCAATAAGAGGTTTTTAAAATCAAGCCAGCTACCATTTTGGTGGGCATCAAAAATAACTTCATAGGAACTCTGGAAAACCATGCAGAACCTATGCCTCAACATCCTTCCAACTCAGCAGTGAGGGATCTGGGAGCTTTATATACCAACTCCCATCAGTCATTGGCTGCTGGCTTCTCCTAGAGGATGAATTCCCTGGCACTTCTGGTCTACCTTGGGAACGGGCAGACTGGTCTTCCTCATCTTCAGAGAAAGCCCCCAAACACACAGATGGCGATACTGACAGAAGGTATTGGCCTTTTAGGGTTGATATGATACATTCTGATGGGGCACTGACCACTTCTACTGCCAGTATCAGGAGAGAATGTGTCACAGAACTCCATCATACAACAGATGGATACAACATCCATCAGCTCTATCTAAAAAATTTCCCTTCCAATTTCCTCCCCTCTCCACACTTCAATGTGAACCCTCTAATATCCTCAAATTAGAGGAAAGGCTAAAGGGACGTGAAACAAGTTCTGGCCACCTCCTTTGCTGGTCATATTGAGAGTCTTGGACCTCACTCTGGAGCATCGGATGAGTTGGCACTTACTGTTTTGTTCTTGGCTTTCCTAGATCAGGGGTCCCCAACGCCCTGACCGTAGTCTGGTAATGGTCCATGGCCTGTTAGGAACACTGCCACACAGCAGGAGGTGGGCAGCGGGAGAGCAAGTAAAGCTTCATCTGTATTTACAGAGGCTCCCCATCCCTCTCATTACTGCCTGAGCTCCAGGCAGATCAGCAGCAGCATTAGATCCTCACAGGATCTTATTCCCTACCATGAGAACAGTATGGGAAAACTGTCCCTGTGATTCAGTTACCTCCCACCAGGTCTCTCCCATAACACATGGGAATTATGGGAGTACAATTCAACATGAGATATGAATGGGGACACAGAGCCAAACCATATCACGGGGAAAGCGAGGCAGGGAAGAGAAAAAAGCCAATAAAAGGTTTTTAAAATCAAGCCAGCTACCATTTTGGTGGGCATCAAAAATAACTTCATAGGAACTCTGGAAAACCATGCAGAACCTATGCCTCCTCACAGGAGTGCAAATCCTTTTGGGAACTGCGCATGTGAGGAATCTAGGCTGTGAGCTCCTTATGAGAATCTAGTGCCTGATGATCTGTCACTGTCTCCCATCACCCCCAGATCAGACCATCTAGTTGAAGGAAAACAAACTCAGAGCTCCTACAGACTCTTCATTATGGTGAGTTTATAATTATTTCATTATACATTAAAATGTAATAATAAAAATAGAGTGCACAATAAATGTAATGTGCTTGAATCATGCTGGAACCATCCTCTTGACCTGGTCTTCCACAAAACCAGTCCCTGGTGCCAATAAGTTTGGAGATAGCTGTCTTAGAGGACTCAGTCCAAAGGGAGACAGTGTGTCCCATTTTAATACCCGCAGTAGAAGTGGCCAGTGCCCCATCAAGATTCACCATATCAATGCAGAAAGGCCGGCTGTCATCTGTCAGAGGAAAGAAGGGGTGCGCTCCTCCCTCCTGAAGCCTACTTAAATAGGCTTTGAAGAGAGCCCTTGGGGAGCTTGATTTCTGTCCCCTAAAGATTGGGGAACCCTGCAGATTAGAGTCTGACTCATACCTGAGAAATCTAAGGGGCCCCGGGATGGCTGAAGAGGGCTGCAAGTTGGTAAGCAGCTACATTTCCACCAAAGGCCACTGTTTTCTGTGGCGGGCAGGAAAGAGAGAACGAGCATGTATAAGCAAGCTGACCTGGGGATATTTGAAAGATGCTTTGCCTATTCTTTTTGGGCATGATGGGCATCTGTGAAGGTGGGCCATGAAGGGCCAAGGCCAGATGGAATGTCATGCATGACTGGAGAGTTGGAACGTGGAGCTCGTGCAGCTCTAGGGCTGGTGAACTACAGGTGAGAGACGTGCATACAGGGTCCCTGAAGATGGACGTGTCCTTAGTGCATGAACAAAAGCTCTAGCTCAAGAGTGTTGCAGACATCCAGCCATGCGCTGCTCTTAGGATGTGCATACCCATGCAGGCTTGCAGAAACCTAGAAAAAGGGAAAGGCTTTTTCTGACTTGCACAAGACAGCATCCATTTGCCAAGCAGGGCATACTTGAGGCTGTCTGATATCTTTTTTTCTAGTCCCTACAAAGATCTTGTGTTTCGAAGCCAATGGAGACAGAGTTCCAAAGTTCACACCAGAGAATGGCATCCTGTAGGACCCAGCTCACAGCAACCATCCCAGTTAATCGAGACCTTTTTCTACCCCTTATCTCTTCCCAGTGTGCCCTCACCAACCTTAAAGGGGCAAGGGCAGCCTGGCTGGGGAAGAGATTGGAGGGCAAATTTACCACTCTCTTAGAGAAAACACACGAAGCTGACGGTACCCATTTCCCACCGCAGCTTCTGCAGCAAGTCTGAGCAAATGAAGTCAGAGGTGTGACCCTACACTGGACTGGACACATTCATCACTGAACAGAACCACAGATGCCGATGACATTTTTATTACCTACAAATAACAAATTCATAGCACAGGGGCCTGGCTGACATTCATTCAGAGGCAGAGAGGACCAGTCCTGGAATTATACAACAACAGGGGAGGGGGACAACAAAAGTAGCTTTATGATTATATCCCACAACCCCGCTCTTTCGACTATTTAGAGAAAGCATCCAATAGGCATTGTATACAGAAAGGGTCCAAAAGGCCCTCAGTAAGTGGTTGCTCTTGTTATTATAAACTGCTTGTGCAGGTGAAGGTTAAAGCAGAATTTCAGAGCTAAATGCCAAGGAGGTTGCACCTGATTATCAGCCCTGGGCTGGACAGTCCAGGAGGAGGAAATGAACAGCTGAGAGCAAGGTCTATGCTCCAGAGTGGAGCATGAGGGACTCCTCCACCCCAGCTCTGCTGGGTCACCAGCCAGAGGAAAACTGCATATGCTGTGATCACAATACTGGTTCCTGGGAGGGCATCTTGCTTGTCTCCGTTGGACAGCAATTCGAGAGGGAGATTTGCTCATTTGTCTTTCTGAAGCTGAACATCAGGGTGGGTTGGGGAGGAAAGGAGGGTGGGAGCCAAGACTGTCTGCTGCTGCACCAGCATCATAATGCAAAGAGGACTGCTCACCCAGAGTTCAGGTCCCAGGCATGGCACAGACACAGGTGGGAATTCTGTTCCTTTGGGGTTTAGGGAAAGTGCCCTGGGACGCCTCATGAAGATGCTAGAAAAATAAAATCAGAACTAAGACAAAGGGATATCCATGCGTAACCTATGCATTCACAGGTTTGTTTCTTTACCAGAGAGCAGTGGAGATGATTCACACTTCAACAGGGAACTCTTTAGCTGAAATAGTTCTTTCTTTCTGTAAAACACAGAGGTTCTTGAGGGCAGGGAGTGTGTCTCAACTCATCTTTGAATCCCTGGAACTTAATCCAAGGCCTGAGTAGCATAACAGAAGGTGAGTGGGCTTTAAACTCATACAAATCAGGGTTTGAATTGCAGCTCTGTCATTTACTAGCTGTGTGACCTCAGGCAGGTTACTTCACCTCTCTGAAGTTCAATTTCCTCATCTGAAACATGGTAATGAAAATACCTACCTCCAAGTTTTGGAGAAGCAAAACTATATTTAAATTTAATATGCCGATTATGGTAACTGGCCCCCAGAAAGATAGTAATTATCACCATTATCATCATTATTTTCCTTTGACATCTTCTCAATTCCTCAGTTATGTTCAGACAGCTCTGGTTCTCTTACAGAATTTACTTCAAAAGTTGCCAGATCATTTTTATACTGAAAACACCTCCCATTTTCGGCACAAATCCTTAGTTACACAGTCTGTAAACATAGTCAGAACTGAAAATACTTTTCCATTATTGGATAAGAAGATTCCTTTCTTGTCCTTTCTGCTGTCTCCTCATGCTCTAGTTCTGCCCCCAGTGGGTCCTGAGGAAAAGTAATCTTGAATGACATGTGAGCTTTACATCTAAAATCAAATTTGGCATCCCAGTTCCCAGTACAGCATTTTCACACATTTCCAAAACGTCAAAGAGAATAGCTGCCCCTTTTGTTTCATGTCAATTTCCTCCAAATCAGTTTTCTACTCAGTAATTTATCTGAGATTTAGTTGTTCAATCTGTAAAATGGACCCGTAAAGTGATCTGAAAACACTACTCTCGCACATAGGAATGCTCTGAGATGGATGAGAGGCCAGAAAACTCACCTTATTTACTTGGTCACTTCCATCAATCCCAGCTGTACCCGTGGGGGAAATCAGTGGGTCTGTCTTTCCCGGCTGCTGGCCAACATTATGTCCAGGCTGAGTTTCATCAGATTTGCTCTGCTAAATGAAAGGAACTGACTCTATGACACTTTTCATGAATTCTGATCAAATGCCTCACCCAGCATAGCTACAGGGTGAGTTACAGAAGACATAGGAGAGAGGAGAATGGTTTGGGGGGAATGGAGGGACCCCTCGCAGGGTTTGTGGGTGGCAGTGGTTAGAGAGACAAGGCTGAAAGGAAGCAAAGCAGGACTGTGAGGGTGGAGAAGCTGGCTGTAAATGGAAGTGTCTAAATATCATACCCTAAGCATCAGGACTGGGGCGGGAATCAGAACAGAAAAGAATATCTTTCTCTTGTCTAACTCAATCAAGTGACCACACATGGAAAACTGGATTTCTGGTGTGAAAAGTCCCCAAAAAAGGAAAAAGGAGAGGTGAACGGGAACAACAATTGCAGATATGACTTATTGAGTCCTGTGCTGAGTTCCTTACAGAGAGTATGTATTTAATCCTCCCAATAACCCAAGAGGTTGGTATTATTATTACCCTTTTTATACAGAGATGGTAACTGAGACCCAGAGAAGTGCCTTCCTCGGCACCCCCCATCTCACTCTGTCTGCCAGGCTTTTAATGCTTCCATCATTAATTCCATCTTCAACAATCATTTGCTGAGTGTTAGGCTCTGTGCCAGGCACTAGAAGGGTTCCAGTCAGGTAAGCAGAGAGAAGACAGAAGACTTTCAGATAAAGGGTAAAGTGATGGATGAGCAGAGAACAAAGCAGAATGGAGAGTTCTGGAACTCAGGAAGGGCTTAGCATGCCAGGGAACCAAGTTGGTCAGGCCCACCTAGGATGTTCCTAAGGGAAACCTTCCCCATAGTCCCACCTCCTTCCCAGTTCCATTGTCACAGCAACAAGAGAAGCCTGTGGGGTTGTGGAGCAAGTTTTTTTTTTTTTTCCAAAGTCCCCAGAATGATGGTGCCAGCAACTTGCGCCCAAGTCAATCAGAAACAGAAACACAGCCACAGCCGCTGGGGAAAGCAGGTGTCACCTAATCCCACCAGGAAAATATTAGTCTAAGTCATGGTTTTCCAAAAACAGTCATGGCGACACTTACTGAGCAGTTTACTTTGTCCCAAGCTTTTATAGGCATTTCACATACATGAGCCCATTTAACCCTCTACGAAGTCAATAGTTTAATGATCCCTCATTTCACAGATGAACTAAATGAGGTTCGGGACTTGGAAGCGGCAGAGTCAAGATTCAAATCCAGATTTACCAAACTCTGAAGGCTTCTTCTGAACCTCTGTGCTATGCCATTCTTCCCACCACCCTGCAACTGTGGGATCCCCCCACTTCTCTGTGGACATGGGTTGGCCCACTCCTAAGAGGGCTCTCGCAGGAAGAGCAGCATGGTAGCCCTGCCCCTTATGAGACAGGCAACCTTGGGCAGGTGACTTCACCTCCTGGAGCCTCATCTCATCTGTACAACAGGAACTATACCACAGAGGTATCATGGGCACTTTACTCAGGACCTCGTGCAGAGGCAATATACACACTGGATTTCCATCCCTCTTAGGGGTCTCCTATGCCATCCTCACTGTTCCATTGGAAAAACAAAGCCAAGCACACCCTGGAATGGTGAAGAAAAGGCCATTGCAACAACCGGACGGTGAGACCCAGCAGCCAAGGTTGAGTTTTGCTCATCTTATTTTCCCTGAAGGCTGGTCACATGACAACAGGCATTCAGTAAATATTTCTTCTGAAAACACACACACACACACACACATGCACACATACAAACACACACACGACAGAAAAAAAATACATCAGCGTGTTCTGCCTATTCATCTCCAAGCTGTGGAACTTTATCTTTCCGTGTGCTTATCTGAATTTTCCGATTTTTCTGTGTTGAGCATGTATTATTTGTGGCACCTAAGATCTTGAAAGACACACGTCCCACTATAGATTGCCTCTGGGAAATGAAAATGGGAAAAATTAATTAGTTAGGAGGGCTTTTTTAAAGCTTTGTGTTCATTTTTAAGTTTTGTGTTACTTTTGAAACTGTTTACATTGTCTTTTGAGTTCAAACGTATTGTCTTATTTTTCTAACCGAAAAGTCTTCCTCTGGATGGAATATTCACCAGGACTCTCTCGCCAGTCCCAAAAGATTATGAGGAAGTGACCTTCATTCCAGGTACAATGGTGGAGTCCAGCTAATCTTTTCTTGTGTCTTTGGGAATCTGCTTACTGGTTGACCCGGATGCTCTGTGCATGCTCACAGAAACCTTCTGCCAAACCTGCACCAGTCATTAGGCTTCTGCAGTGCTCTTCTGAGCACCTTATCTTCTGGCATTAATTTAAAGCAACATTTTCTCACCTCTGTAGGTATGCTTCCATGACTTGGAGGCCTAAAAAATGAACTGTAATGGATTTTGTCAAAAATTGCAGACAATCAAAATGTCTGGTTTCATCTCTTAATTTCCAAATGATTAGTAGCAACTGCCTGTAGCACTGAGTAGGAAGGACCCTGAGACCATTTCCAGGTAGAGCAGAAACAATCAAACAGCAAGAATTTAAAAGCACTGGCTGGACGTGGTGGCTCACGCCTCACCTGTAATCCCAGCACTTTGGGAGGCTGAGACAGGTGGATCACCTGAGGTCAGGAATTCGAGACCATCTTGACCAACATGGTGAAACTGTGTCTCTACCAAAAATACAAAAATTAGATGGGCGTGGTGGCAGAGGCCTATTATCTCAGCTTCTTGGGAGGCTGAGGCAGAAGAATCGCTTGAATCCGGATCCGGGAGGCAAAGTTTGCAGTGAGCCGAGATTGCGCCACTGCACTTCAGCCTGGGCAACAGAGAGAGACTCCATCTCAAAAAAAAAAAAAAAAAAAAAAAAAAAAAATATATATATATATATATATATATATATCTCCACCAGATCCTTTATGAATTAATGTTTTCTGCTAATGAATTACTGATGACTGCCATGGCATGAAATCAAGGGCTACTGGCATATCCCATACCCCAAATCTAATGAAACACATCCTCCTTTCACTCCGAAGAAGCAAAGTGGTGGGACTCCCATGTGGTATAGTGTAGCAATAATGCAGCTATTATTTATGGAGTGCCACTTTGATGGTTTTTTTTTTTTGAGAGTAAGTCTTGCTCTGTCATCCCAGGCTGGAGTGCAGTAGTGCAACCTTGACTCACTGCAACCTCTGCCTCCTGGGTTCAAGTGATTCTCCTGCCTCAGTCTCCTGAGTAGCTGGGAATACAGGCCCATTAATTAATTAATTAATTAATTAATTAATTAATTTTGTATTGGAGTGCGACTTTGAGCAAAAGATTTTCCATACCTAATACATCTTATAGCAACTCTCCAATTATCAGTATAGTTTTGGTTACAATTGTCAGACAACCAACTCACACTAGCTCAAGCAAAAAGAGTGTGTTTGGGCTCATGTAACCGAGAGGAGAACTGAGTTAGAGCTTAGAATCACCAGAAGAGCTTTAGGAACTGAGATCAGTGATGGGTTCCAGCAACGACTTCCAGAGTGGATTTGTTAGGCAAGTTCCAGTCCCACTTGCTCTTGCACTCAATTACCCCTCTTTCATGGGATGACACAGCACAGAGGCCCTTGCCAGATGTAGGCCCCACTACCTTGGACTTCTCAGCCTCCAGAACTGTAAGAAATACGTTTCTTTTCTTTATAAATTACCTAGTCTGTGTTGTTGCTATAGCAACACAAAACAGATTAAGACACTCATACTACAAACAGGCCTCTCCCATATGAAGAGGAACATGGTTGCTATTTTCCCAGTGCATAAAGTGCTAACTTTTCCCAACATGTGTTTATCAGTCCCAGGGGAAAACTCTGATTGGACTATTTGGGTCATATGGCCATTCTTTGCGCCAATCACTGTTTGTCATTAGATGATTTGGTCAGAACTCAGCTGTACTCCCATCCTCCTGGCCAAGGGGTCTGTGTCTACCAATAAAAGAAAGATTTAAAAAGCTTACTAGTCAGTTAAATATCAGGGCCGCTATGAACAGCTGCACAGGTTGCATGCTGCACAAGGGCACCAGCTGAGTGGATAAGGAAGGGATAAAATCCTGCCTGTGCCTTGCTTAGCAAGCCATAGACTCTGGCCCTAGATACATCTGCTAGAATTGTTCTAATTCATAACGTGGGGTCATACAGGCTAGTATTTGCCCAAGGAGAAAGCAACAGCTACTGCAAGATACTACAGTCCCTAGGAAGTAAATAATGATTATCCCATTTTTAAGATGAGAAAACAGAGCTCACAGAGGGTCAAGTGAATCACCCAAGGCTATACCCAAGAGTCTCCCCTTATTCCAAACCCCCGGTGGATGCCTGAAACCATGGATAATACTGAACCCTATACATATATTAATTTTTTCTATAATACGAACCTATGATAAAATTTAATTTGTAAACTAGACACAGTAAGAGATTATCCACAGTAAAAATAATAAAATAGAACAATTATAACAGTACTGCAGCACATTATGTGAATGTGGTCTCTCTGTCTTCTAAATCTCTGATTGTACTGGACTCATCTCTCTTTTAACAACAGTAGACCACAGGTAACTGAAACTGGGAAAAGTGAAACTGCAGGTAAGGGGGAACTACTGGACACCAAGAAACAGTAGAATCAGGATTCGAACCCAGGTCTGTGTAGCTCTAAAGTCTATCCTCTTCCTATCATGACCCACTCAACAGCCTGTAAGAGAAATGAAACCCACCATGCTCCTAATAGTCTGAAGAAGTGAGAGAAGCAGATTCTTGTGCCTCTTCTCTCTGAAAACCCAGTTAGCCCCGCAGAGACAGACAATCCACTTAAAAAAACCAACCCATGCCCAAGACAAAACACTCAAAAAAAAAAAAAAAGACTGTGTTTGCAAACAGCTTGAAAGTCATGGTGTTCCACTTAAAAACGTAATTTCTTGCTTGGAACAGTGAGAAATTAGATGCAGTCTGTTTTGATTTCTTCTCAATTTAGGATACGCTTTAGTGACCAATCTGCAGACATGCCAGCATCCTTCTGTCTTGAGGGTATGTTAGCTTGGTTTGTGTCTCTGTTCATAAAGGAAGTCTAAATCATCCCACAGGAAATGCAGCCCAGAATTTATATTACAGGCATGGAGACAGGCTGAGCAGCCTCTTCCTGGATATTATTATTAATAAGAATAAGAATAATTACCATTCACTGGGCTTTTACTGTCTGTCACGTCTGGTGCTAAAAACATCCATCACCACAAAACCTTATTGGGATTATTGTTGGGTACTCACATCTGAACACCCTTTCTCTGTTGGAGGGGAATCCCCTGCTGGGCAGTTCTTGGTAGGAGTTGGACCTGTCTCCCTCTGTAGGAGCAAAAGAGGCCAGAAATCCATAAGCTCCCCGTGATGCTTCCAATATATTTCATTTCTAAAACATAGACTTCATTGCTTAGAGCAGTTTTAAATTCACGACAAAATTGAGAGTAAGATACAGATTTCCCATATATCCCCTTGTCCAAACCACCCCCACTGCCAACATCCCCCACCAGAGTGGTCCATTTGTTACAATTGATTCCCCTGCATTGACACATTATCACCCAAAGTCAGTAATAACATGTCCCCACCAGTACAGTCTCATACATAGGCCTTTTGCTACCTTGAAAAATCCTACCTACTCATCTCTCCCTCCACCCTAACACCTGGCAACCCCTCATTCTTTTACTGTCCCCATTGTTTTGCCTTTTGAAAAATGTCACATAGCTGAAACCATATCGCGTGTGGCCTTTTCAGATTGGCTTCTTCCTCTCAGCAATATGCATTTCCTTAAGTTTCCTCCACATCTTTTCATGGCTTGATGGCTCATTTCTACATTCTATTTTTGCTTACATTAAAAAAGTCTATTTCTGTTGTTGGCATTCAAGCACCCTGCTACAAAAAACTGTTGTTATCCCCATTTTACAGATTTTAAAAAACAAACAAACCCTGAGACTCAGAGAGACAAGACTAGGTGAAGAATAGAAAATCTACAAAGGGCAGAGCAAAGCCGCAGGAAAGCATGCGGGCAGCACGATGCAGTCAGCAGAAGTGCAGTTTTGCAGTCAGGAACTTGGACACGAGGGCCGGCTTCCTCCCCTACCAGGGAGAACCTCTGGAAAGTTGCTTAACTTCTCTCCACTTCTTCATCCATAAAATTCAGGCTACTGTGCCTGTATCAAGCAATTCTTGAGAGTATTAAAAGAAATCATGTATAGGCCAGGCGTGGTGGCTCACACCTGTAATCCCAGCACTTTGGGAGGCCAAGGCAAGCAGACCACTTGAGGCCATGAGTTCGAGACCAGCCTGGCCAACATGGCAAAACCTTGTCTCTACTAAAACAACAAAAATTAGCTGGGCATGGTGGCATGTGCCTGTAGTCCCAGCTACTCAGGAGGCTGAGGCAGGAGAATCACTTGAACCCAGGAGGCGGAGGTTGCAGTGAGCTGATACTGTGCCACTGCACCACTCCAGCCTGGGCAACAGAGTGAGACCCTGTCTCAAAAACAAAAAGGAAAAAATAAAAGAAATCACGTATATGTTGCACTTCACACAGTGCCTCGCTCAACATGCATTAGCTGTGGTATCTGTTATTGTTATTATTTGTGTTGTGTGTTCATTAACCTAATTCTGTCACACCCTGTTATAAACCAGGATTATCTGACTGTCTGGTAGGATTCTGTTTGCTCTGTTTCATCCTCTGGGCAACCCCCAGAGTCGAGCTTGAGGAAAAGCAGAGGATGAGTGACACTTCTGCCTGGAGATTCTTGACATGAGGCAACTTCTGAAACCAGACGTTCCCTCTGCTTCTCTCCATATCTCAGGGGAACCCGAGCCCCAGACAGTGGGGGCTCAGCCTGTGCTCACTGCTCATGCTAACGATGATGGATTCCCTACCCTTTGCAACCTGATCAACAGCTGCCCAGTGTTTTATCACCATTTCCCAGGGCAGAGCAGGCCACCCCAACCCCTGCTGATGAGGGCCTTTTTTTCTTACTACATGTGACCCAGAACAGAGCCCATTAAAGAACTTATTCATTTCTCCACCTTCTGCCACTTTAATTACAAACATTGCTGAGAGTTGAATAACACAGAACAAAAGACAGATTTATTTACCCCAGGACGTAAACAAGATTATCAGAAACAAGCATTCACAAGCCCTTGGCTCCTGGGAGAATTTTAATTTGCTGACCCCTGCCTTACAGAAATCTTAGGTCTTCTCACATAATTATAAAACCCCGAGAGTTTTGCCTGCTTGAGTTATTTATTGGCACGCATCCCTGGCCCGGCTGCTGGCCCTCGTTGGCCAATTACAGGCATCTCCACTGGGACTTTCAGCCAGGCTCTTTTGAGACAATGCAGGAAGCCTGAAATTCTCTTTTCCTTCATCAAGATTTCCTACTGGCGGCTTCCTGGAATGACCAAGGTACACAAACAGAAGGGAGGAGGAGGCATAGTAACATTCATTAGAACACTTTGGGTTCCAAATCACTTAACCCCACATGGAACTGGCATTAAAGCAAAAAGGGACTGCATTGTAACCGAAAAGTCCACCACTAAAGTTACCTTGAGGCACAGCTCAATTCAGGGGCTATAACCATGCCAGTGGGCTCAGTCTCTTCCACATCTCTCACCTGTTTTTCTCTAGGTCACTGGCTCATTTTTCAGGGAAAAATGGTCCCCAGCATTCCCAAGCTTTCAACCTACCAGCTCCTAGAATTAAGTCTCGTTGGCTCAGCTTTGGTCATGTGCTCATAGGGAACCAATCACTGTGACTGGAAGGTGAAATATGTTGATTGGCTAGACATGGGTCATATGCCCAATCTCTCTCTTTTTTTTTTTTTTTTTTTTGAGTTGGAGTCTGGCTCTGTCTCCCAGGCAGGAGTGCAGTGGCAGGATCATGGCTCACTGCAACCTCCACCTCCAGGGTTCAAGCGATCTTCCCCACTCAGCCTTCCTAGTAGCTGGGATTGCAGGTGCCTTGCACCTGGGTAATGTTTTTGTATTTTTAGTAAAGACAGAGTCTCATCAAGTTGGCCAGATTGGTCTGGATCTCCTGACCTCAAGTGATCCACCCCCGAGGCCTCCCAAAGTGCTGGGATTACAGGTGTGAGCCACCACGCCCAGAGGTATACCCAATCTTGTCTCTGGGGTGAGAACAATTCTATCTTAGCCATATGGGCTGAGGGCATGATATGAGCAAGTCCTCAAAGAAAAGTCAGGGTGTGTACCTAGGAAAAGGGACATCGAGGCTGAGCAGATAAAAGCAATGGAATGCTTTGCTTTGATCTGTCCATCATAGTATTCCTCTGGGTTAGGGCTCACCGAACACCCCACACTCTTCCTGGAGCAGCTTGGAAGTGTCCACTTTAGCATCTGTTAGGGGTTAAATTGTTTCCTCGCCCCAAATGTGTAGTTTGACGTCGTAACCCACAGTACTTCAGAGTGTGACTGTGACAGTTAATTTTAAGTATTGTGTAGGGGAAGACTCTCCTCAAACTGCCTTTTTCCTCTACTCTCACACCACAACAATCATCAACATGGAAGTCTTCTGTAACCAAATGTGGGGGGCCGGTTTCTCCACATACGAAGCAGCAGACACCAGCCAGGTGTCCACTAACTCAGTTCTGCCACCATCTACCTGGAGATAGTATCATATCCCACAGGTTGAGGGCTCAGTCCCCAAGGCTGCCTCTCTACACACACACACCAGTTTCAGGTTTGGAACTCCCGACAGACCTGCTTCAGGTAGGGGTTCTCCCAACCCCCACTTCGGATTTGATTAATTTGCTGGAGTGGCTTACAGAACTCAGGGAAACACTTACTTACATTTACCGATTTCTTATAAAGGATACTGCAAAGGATGCAGATGAAGAGCTGTATAGGGCAACGTAGGGGTAGGGGTGCAGAGCTTCCATGCCCTCCCTGGGCACCACCTTCTGGGAGCCTCCATGTGTTTGTGAACCCTGAAAATTCGAGACAGGTCCAAGTGAATTTAGAAAGCTTATTTTACCAAGGTTGAGTACTTGGGCCCGTGACACCACCTCAGGAGGTCCTGACATGTGCCCAAGGTGGGCAGAGCATAGTTTGGTTTATACATTTTAAGGAGACATGAGACATCAATCCACATATGTGGTAAGATGAACATTGCCTCCTTCTGGAAAGGTGGGACAACTTGAAGTGGGGAGACGGCTTCCAGATCATAGGTAGATAAGAGAGAAATGGTTGCCTTCTTTTAAGTTTCTGATTAGCCTCTCCAAAGCAGGCAAATCAGATATATATTGATTCCAGTGAGCAGAAGGGTGACTTTGAATAGAATGGGAGGCAGGTTTCCATGTGAGAATTCCCTCTCTATCTATCTTCCATGTGAGTGGTTCCCAGCGTGACTTTTCCCTTTAGCTTAGTGACTTTGGGGGCCCAAGATATTTTCCTTTCACAGATTCATCTATCTGGAAGCTCCCCTCTTGTTTTTTTTTTTGTTTGTTTGTTTTTGTTGTTTTTTTTTTTGAGACGGAATGTCTCTCTGTCACCAGGCACCAGCCTGGAGTGCAGTGGTGCAATCTCAGCTAACTGCAACCTCCGCCTCCCGGGTTCAAGCGATTCTCCTGCCTCAGCCTCCCAAGTAGCTGGGACTACAGGTGTGCACCACCACACCCAGCTAATTTTTGTATTTTTTAGTAGAGAGGGGTCTTCACCATGTTGGCCAGGATGGCCTTGATTTCCTGACCTCATGAGGCCCACCTCAGCCTCCCAAAGTGCTGGGATTACAGGCGTGAGCCACCGCGCCCGGCCCCTCTAGGGCTTTTATGGAAGCTTCATGACATCACCATTCCTTCCCCTAGCATAGAGGGTGGGACCCTCTCATGGGAGGTCTTAAGATCCACAGTCAGTCGGAAAGGTGAGGGAACAGTGGAGTGAAAAGAGGGCAGAAGAAAGTCAGAGGCCTGCACGTAAGGCCAAACACACCCAGCATTCTTTAAAAAGTCTGTAACAAGGGCTTTGGGAGTTATGAGCCAGGAACTATGGACAAAACCCCACACATACCATAATACCACAAGTGTCAACTTGACTGCATGAAGGAATAACTAGAAACCTGGTGAAGCATGATTTTGGGGTATGTTTGTGAAGATATTTCCAGAGGAAATTAGCATGTGAGTCTGCATGAATGAGATGGGGAAGATCCACCTCAGTGTGGGCAGGGACCATCCAGAGCGAGCTAAAACAGAGAAGGGCAAATATGTCTCTCTGTCTGCTGGACTTGGACCCACTCCTTTTCTCCTGCTCTTGGGCAATTCTAAGTTCTCCAGCCCTTGGAGAACTCCTTCAACCAGTGCTCCTCCCCTCTGACCCCAGGTTGTCAAGCCTTTGACCTCAGACCGTGAGTCACACAATTGGCTTCCCTGGTTCGGAGGCCTTCAGACTTGGACTGAATCATGTTACCAGAATCCCAGGGTCTCCAGCTTGGAGAAGCTTGTCATGAGACCTCTCAGTCTTCATAATTGTATGAGCCAATTCCCCTAATGAATTCCCTCTCTATCTATCAATCATGTATCTATCTATCATCTATCCTCCATCTATTTATCTGTCTATCATCTATCTATCATCAATTATCTATCTATCTATCTATCTATCTATCTATCTATCTATCTATCCATCCATCCCATTGGTTCTGTCTCTCTGGAGAACCCTGACAAATACAGTGACCCATAGATCTTTAAAGAGAGAATCAAGTTAAGGATGGGCGCAGTGGCTCATCCCTATTATCTCAGCACTTTGGGAGGCTGAGGCAGGCAGACCACTTGAGCTCAGGAGTTCAAGACCAGCTTGACCAACATGGCAAAACTCCATCTCTACTCAAAATACAAAAATTAGTTAGGCGTGGTGGCGCATGCCTGTAATCCCAGCTATTTGGGAGGCTGAGGCAGGAGGATCACTTGAACCTGGTGTTTGTTTAAGAAGAGGATATTTGAACACAGATATGCATGCAGGGAAAATGTCATGTCAACGTGAAGATGGCCTTCCACAAGCCAAGTAGAGAAGCCTGAAACAGATGATTCCCTCACAGCTCTCAGAAGGAACCAACCAGACACTGCGAGTCTCCAGAACTGCAAGACAGTAAGCTTCTGTTGTATAAGCTTTCCAGCTGTGGTATTTTGTTAAAAAGCAGCCCAAGCAAAATAACACAGCATCTTTGAGGAAGAAGTGAGGGGAAGTGTTCAGGTCCCCTGAGAGCCTGGCTCAAGCCTCACTCCATGCTCTAGGAGATTCCAAAGCTCTACTGGGATTCCTATAAGTCCCTGGGGGCTTATACCACCATAGTCCCTCCTGGTTTCAGGCTCCTGTTTCCACGTGGGTTTTCTCTGTTAATCACCATTCATTTGGATACGATATTCAGCCCTTTCCTGTAACTGCCATCCAGAAAAAGAATCCATCCATTCCTCCAAGACCTGTCTGTGCACTTTGCTGAAGTCTTTTGGCATAGGGAGAGGAGGAGGCTAAATTGCAAGTTCACATGAAGCTTCAAAATTGAACAATAAGAATCCACGTTCATTCATTCATTCATTGCTTCATAAAAAAGTTATTTATTTATTTGTTTGAGACAGGGTCTTGCTCTGTCACCCAGGCTGGAGTGCAGTGTTGCAATCATCATTCACTGCAGCCTCAAACTCCCAGGCTCAGGTGATACTCCTGCCTCAGCCTCTTAAGTACCTGGGACTGCAGGAGCATGGCACCATACCCAGCTAATTTTTGTAGTTTTTGTAGAGACAGGGTCTTGCCATGTTGCCTAAGCTGGCAAAAAAAAAATGTATTAAAACCCACTTTGTGCCAGGCACTGAGGCATGAGGAGACACAGTGAAGAACACGATAGACAAAACCCATCCTCACAGAACTTATATTTTAGTTGGGAATACAGATGATACACAGAAAGAATAAGCAAGAGTGTTCCAGATTGTACTAAGTGTCATGAAGAAAATAGCAGGGTTGGAGGCTGTGCATGGTGGCTCATGCCTGTAATCCCAGGACTCTGGGAGACCAAGTGGGGAGTGGATCACTTGAGGTCAGGAGTTCGAGACCAGTCTGGCCAAACTGGTGAAATTCCATCTCTACTAAAAATACAAAAAAAATTTAGCCAGGCATGGTGGCAGGTTCCTGTAATCCCAGCTGCTCAGGAGGCTGAGGCAGGAGAATCACTTGAATCTGGGAGGTGGAGGTTGCTGTGAGCCGAGACAGCACCTCTGCACTTCAGCCTAAGTGATAGGGTGAGACTCTCTGTCTCAAACAAACAAACAAAAAAAAAATAGCAGGGTCGGGTGGTGGAGGTGACATGGGGATGAGCGCTTTGGAGATGACATTTTTTAGCAAGGGTGAGGGAGTCAGAAAATGGCTCTTGGAGGAAAAGAAAGTGGAGATGACTCTTAAAAAAAGAGAGAGAGAGAGAGAAGCAGTGAGCCATGTGCCAGTGACAGGAAGCTGGGCTCAGATTACAATTGAGGCTGCGATGATTAATTTCATGTGTCAGCTTAACTGGGGCACAAGGTGCCCGGATAGCTGGTTGAACATTATTGCTGGGTGTGTCTGTGAGGGTGTTTCTGAATGAGTGTAATATTTGAATCAGCAGACTGAGTAAGGCAGATGGCCCTCCCCAATGTGGGTGGGCTTTCTTTAATCCACTGAAGACCTGAATAGAATAGAAGGCTGAGGCCCAGTGTGGTGGATCACACTGTAATCCCAACACGTGGGAAGGCCGAGGTGGGAGGATCACTTTAGCCCAGAAATTTGAGATCAGCCTGGGCAATATAAAGAGCATAAAGGAACCTTGTCTCTACAAAGCAATTCAAAAATCAGCCGAGCATGTTGATGTACACCTGTAGTTCCAGCTACTTGGCAAGCAGAGGCAGGAGGATCACTTGAGCCACGGAGGTTGAGGCTGCAGTGATTGTGCCACTGCACTGCAGCCTGGGCAACAAAGTGACACCCTGTCTCAAAAAAAAAAATAAAAATCAAGTTTTTAAAAAGGAAAAGGCTGTGCAATTCTCTCTCTCTCTCTTCCTCCCTCTCCCCTCTCCCCTCTCCCCTCTCCCCTCTCCCCTCTCCCCTCTCCCCTCTCCCCTCTCCCCTCTCCCCTCTCCCCTCTCCCCTCTCCCCTCTCCCCTCTCCCCTCTCCCCTCTCCCCTCTCCCCCTCTCCCCTCTCCCCTCTCCCCTCTCCCCTCTCCCTCTCCCTCTCCCTCTCCCGTCTCCCCCTCTCCCCCTCTCCCCTCTCCCCTCTCCCCCTCTGCCTGACTCTGAGCTAGGACATTGGTTTTCTTCTGCCTTCACACTGGGATGCAGAATGGAACTTATACCATCAGCTCTCCTGGTACTCAGGCCTTTGGACTCAGATTAGAACTACTAGACTATACCATCAGCTTTTCTGAGTTTGGACTTCTCAGCTTCATAATGATGTAAACCAATTCCTTATTATAAATCTATATGTGGAGATACATAGAGATAGCGAGAGACTGCATATCTTCCTGTTTATCTGAAAAACCCTGGCTAATACAGAGGACCCCAGGGCAGCATACCCCTTGACAATAGGGCCAGATTTTTCCTGAAGGGAGTGGAAATTTCCACTGCCAGCATCTTGGAATGAGGTCAGACAATGAGGCTATGGAGAGGCAAGCCTTCAACTGGAGAGGCCTCCGACTGGGCTGTGGTAGGCATGGGCTCCAAGAAATTCAAGGCGTGTGCTGTGTGAGTGTGTGTGCCCAGTGAGAGCCCCGGGCTCTGAGCACGTTGCCTCTGGGAGTAGTTGGGTGCAACACTTCATGCCTCCTTCCCTTCTATCATCCTGGTACTTTCAGTAGACTCAGCATAAAAGCTGTAGCTTGTTCTTTGCTGGTGGTGTGGACAACGAGGAGAGGGTCTGTCCTGGGCCGGAGGGGTGGGGGAGGTGCACCTGGCAGAGCAGCAGCAGCTGGAGGGAGAAGGAGGGGAGCTGAAGCAGGGAGAGAGCCGCGCCTCGTGGGAGACGTGAGGCAGCGGTCCAGAGAGCGCAGCTGGCTGCGGTGACAGGCAAGATGGATCTGCGGAGCATGCCCGTGCTCCCCAGTGAGGGAAACCTGGTTGTATAAAAGAAAGTGAAAAGAAGAGGAAAAAATAAAAATCAAACCAAAACAAAACAACAAAGCAAAGGAAAGGAAGAAAGGGAAAGGAGAATGGAGAGAATCTTCCAGAAATCGAATGGGATGGGAGTCCGAACATCACAATTAAGGTGTTAAAAGAGAAAGCAGGGTGGGTGCTGTGGCTCATGCCTGTAATCGCAGCATTTGGGGAGGCCAAGCAGGAGGATCGCTTGAGCTCAGGAGTTCGAGACCAGTCTGAGCAACATGGAGAAACCCCATCTCTCCAAAAAATTCAAAAATTAACCATGTGTGGTGGTGCACGCCTATAGTCCCAGCTACTAGGTAGGCTGAAGTGGAAGGATGGCTTGAACCCAGGAGGCAGAGTTTGCAGTGAGCCACTGCACTCCAGCCTAGGCAGCAGAGCCAGACCCTGTCTCAAAAAAAAAAAAAGAAAGAAAAATAGAGAGCGAGAGCAGCACTGCAGACTGGTAAAATTTGGGGCCTACTGGTAAATAAAAAAACAAACAAATGAATAATATAGGAATAAAAACCATTTGCTCAGGTACTGAACTGAGTCCTTTCCATGGCTCAGTTAATTTGTACCTTGCACCATCACCGAGCGCAGTAGGATTACTTCACTACATAGATGTGGATGCCGAGGCTCAGAGAGTTGAAGTACATTGCCCCAGGTCACATAGCTAAGAGTTAGCCCCCTCAAGAGTTCAACTTGGTTGTGTCTGACTCCAGCTCTGGGCCCGAGCTTCTTAAGAGGTGTTCTGCAGAACACCACATCCAAACAGGTCTCTGTTTTAAAAAAACAGGATGGGAAGAAAGGGAGATGAGTATCTTCCACCTCCCTTTTTCCTCGTTTCAATTCCAAATAGAATTGGAAAGTGAGGCATATAACCAGCCATGTGAAAAGTCGTAACACACAGCAGCTGTGAGAGGCTGTCTTACTTACCTGCTACTGCATAATCAACCAGCCTGCAAGGGTTAATTTTATGTCAACTTGGCTAGACCATGATACCCAGATTTTTGGTCAAACACTAGTCTAGATGTTGTTCTCAGGAATTTTTAGATGAAGTTAACACTTAAATCCGTAGACTCTGAGTAAAGCAGATTTCTCACCATAATATGGGTGGGCCTTATCCAATTAGTTGAAGGCCTAAAGAGAAAAAAGACTGACCTTTCCTGAAGGAGAGGGAATTCTGCCTGCAGTCTGCCTTCAGACTCGAGCTACTGCCAGACTCCATAATTGCATGAGCCAGTTTCTTAAAATAAAACTTTGTATATAGTGGGGTGGAAGGGATTCTCTAAAGAGACCGATAGGAGATACATATATCCTATTGAATATGTATATCTTATGGAAATTCTATATATAGACAGAATTTGATCTAGCTCTATATCAAATTATATATAGATCTATATCTATAGATTGATATAAAATTATGTAGAGGGCTATAGATATAGATCTATAATTTATATAGATATAGATACAGATGTAGATTAAATTCTATTGGTCTGTTTCCCTGGTGAACCCTAATAAATTTGCAGCCTTAACTTAGTGGTTTAAAACAACACCATTTTATGATGTTCATTAATTGTATAGCTCAGGACTCAAGGAAGAGACCTCTCTGAGATTTCAACTGGGAAGCCTCAAACGGCTGAGTCTAGAAAAGCTGGGCTGAAGGGTTCGAGTCCCTGGTACTATCGCTTGTTCAATTATTTATTTATTTATTTATTTACTTTTGAGACAGGGTCTCACTCTTGACCAGGCTGGAGTGCAGTGGAGTTATCACAACTCACTGCAGCTTCGACCTCCCTGGGTTCCAGTGATCATTCCGCCTCAGCCTCCAGAGTAGTTGGGATTACAGGCACACACCATCATGCCTGGCTAATTTTTCGATTTTTTGTAGAGATGGAGTTTCACATGTTGCTTAGGCTGATCTCAAACTCTTGAGCTCAAGAGATCTTCCTGCCTCAGCCTCCCAAAGTGCTGTGATTACAGGCATGAGCCACCATGCCCTGCTAGGTAGCTTTTCCCCCCCCCCAGGCTGGAGTACATGGCACCATCTCGGCTCACCTCCGCCTCCTGGGTTCAAGCGATTCTCCTGCCTCAGTCTCCTGAGTAGCTGGGACTACAGGCGCCCATCACCATCCCTGGCTAATTTTTGTATTTTTAGTAGAGCAGGGTTTCACCATGTTGGTCAAGCTGGTCTTGAACTCCTGACCTGAAGAGATCTGCCCACCTTGGCCTCCCAAAGTGCTGGAATTACAGGCATGAGCCACCACACCTGGCTCAGCCAGGTAGGTTTTTAACTCACCTGTCTGGAACTTTTGTAGGATAGCTGAAGGGTTGGGCTTAGCTGGGACTGCAGGCCAGAGCCTTTACATGTGGCTCTCAGGGGGATGGCCTCTTGGTATTCAAATCTCTTATCTGACAGCTCCATGTTTCAGCAAATAAGGGAGAAGTGGAATGACCTTTTAGGACCCAGCCCTAAAAGTCATATAACCTCATTTCCACCATATTCTATCATTCCCAGATTCAAGGGAGGAGATAGAGACCCCACCTCTTAATGGGAGGAGTGTAAGAGATTTGTGGCCTCATGGTAAAACTGCCACAGAGGCCCTGGAGTAAAGAAATCTGTTAAATTTTGCTTAACCCAGCTTTTCTCAAGATTTCACTTAGGTGTTGTTATGGGATGAGTTGTGTCCTCTCCCAAAATCCACATGTCAAAGTCTTAACCCACAGTAACTCAGAAAGTGAGCTGTCTTGGAAGACAGGGTGATCGCAGATTAAACAGTTAAGATGAAGTCACACTGGAGCGGGGTGGGCACCTCAACCAACATGACTGAGTCCTTCTAAAAAGAGGAAATTTAAACGCAGACATGCCCTCCGGAAAGATGGCATAAGAAGAGCAGGCAGAGATTGGGTTTATGCTTTTACAAGCCAAGGTACACCGGAGATTACCAGCAAATCCCCAGATGCAAGGGGAAAGGCTTGGAACAAATCCTCCCCTCACAGCCCTCAAAAGAAACCAACCCTGCCAACACATTGATCTTGGATTTCTGGCCTCTAGAACTGTAAGACGATAAATGTCTGCTGTTTAAGCTACCTGGTTAGTGGTACCTTGTTGCAGCAGCCTGAGCAAATGAATGTAAGTTGTCAAACCAAATAACAGAGAGAGGCTCTCTCAAAGAAAAGAGGTTTACTTGGGAATACAGCACATGCCACAGTAAACTATGTGCATATTCCAGGAGATGAAAGAAGAGAAAGGTTTTGAAAGGACAGAAAATGAAGAGGATTACATACCCGTTTCGAAATAATTATCCTTGGCCAGTACAGTGGCTCACGCCTATAATCCCAGCATTCTGGGAGGCCTCGTGGGGAGGATCGTTTCAATCCAGGAGTTCGAGATCAGCCTGAGCAACATGGCAAAACCCCATCTCTACAAAAAAAAAATACAAAAATTAGCCAGACATAGTGGTGTGTGCCTGTAGTCCTGGCTACTAGGGAGGCTGAGGTGGAAGGAGCACTTAAGCTGGGGAAGTTGAGGCTACAGGGAGTCATTATTGCATCACTGCACTCCAACCTGGGTGACAGAGCAAGAGCCTGTCTCGAAAAGAAAGAAAGAGAGAGGAAGGAAGGAAGGAGGAAGGAAAGAAGGAAGGAAGGAGAGAAGAGAAAGAAAAAAGGAAAGAAAGAAAGAAGGAAGGAAGGAAGGAAGGAAGGAAGGAAGGAAGGAAGGAGGGAAGGGAAAGAAAGAAAGAAAGAGAAAGAAAGAAAGAAAGAAAGAAAGAAAGAAAGAAAGAAAGAAAAGAAAAGAAAAGAAAAGAAAAGAAAAGAAAAGAAAAGAAAAGAAAAGAAAAGAAAAGAAAAGAAAAGAAAAGAAAAACAAATAATTATCCTTGGCTACAAAAATAACAAGGGTAATGCCAGTCCAAGGTTGGCCAGGCAGTTGCTGAGCAGATGTCCTTTCAGAAGTGTGTGTGTGTAAGGTTGCAACGGCTTTTGTGTGAGGTTGTGGTTTTGTAGTCTTTTGTGATGGTTTTTGTTATCAGGCATACACGCTTGGGAACTCTCTCTTCATGGCCTTCCCAGGCTCTATTTGTCAGGGTTTTCTTAACACTAGCGACCCCCTGTTGATTCCGACAACTTTCACAAGGTGTTCGTTTGTTCATTCACTCACTCATTAGCCAGTTCAAGGCCCTTCACAGCACGGCCCCTGCCAATCCCCACTTTCACCTATAACCCCTTTTCTTCCCCCTCACTCAGCTCTGTTGTGTTCCCTGAAACTAAAAATTTTGTAAAGATTAAATAAAATATGCAAAAGCCTGGTAAGTAGGAACTCAGCAACAAATACTCATCCTTTCTCTTAGCTGTTTATTCTCTCTCGTTTCTTCTTTTTCTGCTCTTCTTGCCCACGGGTTTTCTTCTCTTGCTGGGTCCTGCATCCTGGGCTTCTCTTCCAGACACCTGAGATTCCAGTCTCCTAAAGAGGCTGGAGTCTGACCCTCCATGCCCATGCAAGCTCCTCCTCCTGTCTCCATGCGGAGCTCCCAGGCAGGCCCAAGTACTAGGAGAAGGACTCACAAGAAAGAGCAAGTTCAGGGAAAGAAAACTTTGGATGTTTCCAGGTTTTAGAGAAGACGCAGAAGAAAGGGAATGCTGCTTGAGCCATGCAAAGGAAACTGCTGAGACCTGGGCAAGGCATGGCGTCCAGTCCTGGCTCCCACAATAATTAGGTGTGTGACTGTAGGCAGAGCTCCCAACCTCTTTAGGCCTTGGTTCACCCATTTATGCAACCCAGATAGCCACAGGGATCCTCTTTCCCTTAAGAGCTATATAAAATTGGTAGATACGCTTCATATGAACTAGAAAATCTGGCACCTTCAGCAAGGATTCTGTGAACTCCCAGCTTCACAGCTCTTCTTTTGGTCTTCTATTTAGGGATCATCTTGATGTCTCACTCATGGGGTCCGATTCTGCACTGGGGAAGGCAGAAGAGGAATCCAGTTTCTTTCTTAATCTCCACCAAGCTAACCACTCACATGAGGTATCTGTGTGAATGAGTGTATTGTGGTCACCTATTGTGTGTACCACCCACCACTGAGTCTCCTTAGTGAACCCACTTTTGCAGAAACAACTCCTTCCTTGCCCACTTCAACCCAAGTGGAGGTGGAGGTGCCCCCATGGCCAGTTCCAAAGGTGAACACATGATACACTCCCAGCCAACCAGAGCAGTCCATCTCCCTGGCCACTGATTGGTTCAAAGATGGTCATGTGACCCTAGTCAATCAAATGACAGTACTGGGTCTTCTTGGGGAAGAAAAAAATATGTATTGGAAATCAATACCTGAAAGCAAAGTCAAAATAGAAGATACATGAAGTGGCCAAGCACAGTGGCTCACACTTGTAATCCCAGCAGTTTGAGAGGCCGAGGCAGAGGGATCACCTGAGGTCAGGCTTTCAAGACCAGCCTGGTGAACGTGGTGAAACCCCGTCTCTACTAAAAATACAAAAAATTAGCTGGACATGGTGGCATATGCCTATAATCTCAGCCACACAGGAGGCCAAGGCATGAGAATTGCTTGAACCCAGGGGGCAGAGGTTGCTGTGAGCAAAGATCACACCACTGCATTCCAGCCTGGGCAACAGAGTGAGACTCTGTCTCAGAAAAAAAAAAAAAAAAAAAATATATATATATATATATATATATATATATATATATATGAGACACAAAGTTTCATCTATTTTTGTATTTTGTTTATTTCTTTTCAAATAATTTTAACTTTTATTTTAGATTCAGGGACACGTGCAGGTTTGTCACGTGGGTATATTGCATGTTGCTGAGATTTGGAGTACCACTGATCCCATCCCCAGGTACTGAGCATAGTACCCAATAGTTAGTTTTTCAATCTTTGCCCCTCTTCTTCCTTCCCCCACCTGGTAGTCCCCAGGTGTTTGTCTGTTGTTTCCATCTTTATGTCCATGTGTACCCAACATTTAGCTCCCACTGATATGTGAGAACATGAGATATTTGGTTTTCTATTACTGTGTTAATTTGCTTTGGATAATGACCTCCAGCTGCAGCCATGTTGCTTAAAGGCCATGATTTTGTTCTTTTTTATGGCTACATAGTATTCCATGGTATATATGTACCACATTTTCTTTATCCAATCCACCAGTGATGGGCACCTGGGTTGATTCCATATATTTGCTACTGTGAATAGTGCTGTAGTGAGGGACACTAAGTTTCTATGCCATTAATTAAGGCCCTGGATCCAGCCATGACTAGTGTACTCAATTTCACAAGCAAACAAACACTCCTAGCTTATTTGTTCTTCATCCAATTTGAGTTGTTTTTCTATCACTTGTTCCTGAAAGAGATCTCACTAAATGTTAAACCTTACTGAAAACTACTGAAAATTCAGCAAACAGATACATTTATAGGACAGCAAATAACATGAATAAATAATATAAATTCAGTATTACATATTCTTTTTCTTCTTCTTCTTTTTTTTGTTTTTTTTTTTTTTGAGACAAAGTCTTTCTCTGTCACCAGAGCTGGAGTGTAGTGGCGCAATCTCAGCTTACTGCAACCTCCGCCTCCTGGGTTTAAGCGATTTTCCGGCCTCAGCCTCCCAAGTAGCTGGGACTACAGGCACGTGCCACCATGACCAGCTAATATTTGTATTTTTAGTAGAGAAGGGGTTTCACCATGTTGGCCAGGATGGTCTTGATCTCTTGACCTCGTGATCGGCCTGCCTCGGCCTCCAAAAGTGCTGGGATTACAGGCAAGAATCAGGGTGTCCAGCCCACATACTCTTTTTTTCTAAAGTTCTTTGTCTTCTTAACTCAGGTTCTGCCCTCCCCCTGCACTGTCTATTCCAAATTCCTGTTTATTCCTTGTGTGGAGTGGTTCAATTACACCCTCCTCAGCAGCATCCCTCTCAGTAAGCATTTATGAAGGTATTTCCCTAAACAAAGAGAATTCCCTCCCTGAGGGGAATTCTCATACCAGTTATTGCTAAAGTTAAATTTTCACTTCTCTGCATATCAAATGAAGAGGCCTGGACAAGACCTCCTCTATAACTCCATACAACTTCAAAACTCTGGAGTTCAAAATATAATAAAGCCATTAAAATTGTGCCCTATGTAGGAGAATGTTTTCCAAAATGCAAGTCACAATCCATTAATGGGTCTTGAAATCAATGTACTGGGTCATAACCAGCATTTTTTCTTTAAATGAAAGAGAATAAAATAGAAAATAACAGAGTATATAATGTATAATGGAAGTGTGAATTGGTTCATGAAACTTTTATTTGGTTATAAATATATACGCGCTGTACACATACTGTACTGAATTGTAGTTTAAAATGTATTTCTCACAACGTGTACAATTGTAAAAGCCAATGGGGTAAATCAGCATTCACTGAGAGAAAGATATCATTAAGTTAAAAGTAATATACTTAATGTGATGCAAGTTTTGTTTAAAAAACAACAGATATAGAAATATAAAAAAATACGGAATTACATCTAACAAAAAGCTAAATTACTATGCCTTCAGGAAGAGGGGAATTATGGTATTTTTCCTTTTCATATGAATACCATGGGGGTTATCTAATTTTTTTTTTTTGTAAAGATGGTGGGGTTCACCATGTTGCCCAGGATGGTCTCAAACTCTTAAACTCAAGTGATCCACTTGCCTCAGCCTCCCAAAGTGCTGGGATGACAGGCATGAGCCACTGTACCCTGACAGTCCTTTTATCATTATTATTATACTTTAGGTTCTAGAGGACATGTGCAGAATGTGCAGGTTTGTTTGTTAACATGATACTTTTTTAAAAACATATTTTACTTCTACAGTAAAAAAACATTAAAGCTTGTTTTCGTTTTGAAAAATAAATAGTCACGTATTGCTTAATGACAGGAACACATTCTGGGAAATGTGTCCTTAGGTAATTTCATCATTGTGTAAACATCATAGATTGTACTTACATAGGCCTAAATGCACAGTTCACTCCATATACAATATATAGTACAGCCCATTACTCCTAAGCTGCAAACCTGCATATAGCATGTTACTGTACTGAATACTATAGGCAATTGTAATACAGTGGTAATTATTGTGTATCTAAACGTAGAAAATATGTCTAAAAGATAAAAGTGGGGTTGGGTGCAGTGGCTCACACCTGTAATTTCAGCGCTTTGGGAGGCTAAGGCAGGCGGATCACAAGGTCAGGAGTTCAAGACAAGCCTGGCCAACATTGTGAAACCCCATCTCTGCTAAAAAAAAAAAAATTAAAAAATTAGCTGGGCATGGTGGTGTGTGCCTGTAATCTCAGCTACTGGGGAGGCTGAGGCAGGAGAATTACTTGAATCTAGGAGGCAGAGGTTGCAGAAAGCCAAGATAGCACCACTGCACTTCAACCTGGGCAACAGAACAAGACTCCGTCAAAAAAAAAAAAAAGATCAAAACTGTACACCTGTGTAGGATACTCACCATGTATGGAACTTACAGGTCCAGAGGTTGCTCTGGGTGAGTCAGTGAGTGGTTAGTGAGTGTGAAGGCCTTGGACATTCGTGTATACTACTAAAACTTTATAATAAATTAATTTTAGCTTATTGTAACTTTTTTACTTTATAAGCTATTACTTTTTTAAATTTTTTCACTCTCATAACATTTAGCTTAAAACAAATAACTTTTACCTCTGTACAACATATTTTGCTGTACAAAAATACTTGCTTTCTTTATATCCTTATTCTATACACCTTATTGTGCTTAAACACTTTTTACTTTTTTAACCTTTTTTGTTAAAAACTAAGAGACAAACACACAATTGGTCTAGGCCTACACAGGGTCAGAACATCAGCATCGCTGTCTCCCATCTCCACAGCTCATCCCACTGGGAGGTCTTCAGGGCCAATGACGTGCATGGAGCTGTCATCTTCGATGATGATGATGCCTTCTGGATACCTCCTGAGGGACCTGCCTGCGGCTGTCTTCTAACACGTTTATATAAGTGGAAGGAGTACACTCTAACAATTAAAAAATATAGTAAACGCATAAACCAGTAACAGTCATTTATTATCATTATCCAGTATTACGTACTGTGCATGGTTGGATGTACTATACTTTTATATTACTGGCAGTGATATTGTTTCCACCGACATTGCCACAAACACGTGAGCAATGCCTTGTGCTAAAACATTTGATGACTATGACGTCACTAGGTGATAGGAATTTTTCAGCCCCATTCTAATCTCAGGAGACCATTGTGCAATACATGGTTGGTTATTGATGAAACCTCATTTGCAGTGCATGACTACACTTCTAAAAACCATCAAAGAAGAATATCTGAAAGAAATAGACCCAAATCTTAACAGTGCCAATTTCTAGGTGTTTTTTTATATTTTTCTCTTTTGTTAACTCTGCATTTTACACATTTCTCATGATAAACAGGATTACTGTAAAAGTAAGAGGGGGAAAAATGTGTTTTGTTTTGTTTGAATTCCAAGATTCTTCAGTAGGAGAAAGGGGTTTGCAAACAAATCTTGAAAATTCAGAAAACAGGCCGGGTGCAGTGGCTCACACCTGTAATCCAAACAATGGGAGGCCCAGGCAGGAAGATCATCTGAGGTCAGGAGTTCCAGACCAGCCTGGCCAACATGATGAAACCCCATCTCTACAAAAATACAAAAAATTAGCTGGGCATGATGGTGGGTGCCTGTAATCCCAGCTACTTGGGATGCTAAGGTGGGAGAATCACTTGAACCAGGATGGGGAGGAGGTTGCAGTGAGCTGAGATTGCACCATCGCACTCCAGCCTGGGTGACAGAGTGAGACTCGGTCTCAAAAAAAAAAAAGAAAATTCAGAAAACATAGATAGTCAAGGGAAAGTAAGGCTGGGTGGAGCCGGGTGGGGAGGGGAGGGTAGGTGGGGTGGGAAAATATGCAAATCTTTTGCATTGATTTTCCACATCCGT